AGAGACATTCGGCTTCTGTCAAGCGTTCAAACACACAGCCACTTACATAGATAACTTTTTGTTCGCTGCCATCGCTCAAAGAAAACACTACACAATAATAATACTCCATATTCTGTTTTACACAAAACGTCACAAGATACTAAGCATAACATATAACAAACACACATAATCTCTAAACAACACGCAATCACAATAGTTTGTTGTTAATTGTAACACACCTCTACTCTGACATGGCGTGGGATGTTATTTCTTATGCTGTGGGTTATGTCAGTAGTATGGTTACTTATATTAACGCTTCAGGATGCCGACTCAGTCTTCTTCATTCTTTCACTTATTATTCAGGCACGTAAAGAAGAATGCTCAATTCTAGTTAAAACTCACAGTACTTTATTGAACACACTTTATATTGATAATATTAATAAATAATCCTTGCATGAATGTAATTTCACATATATATCTATAGTATTCCATCATTAAGAAAGACACGTCCTCAGACTACTATAACTCAGCTCAACTGTCTAATCTCACAGCTCTCACGCTACTGACTGACTCTACTGCTCTGCGCTCAGCTCTCCTTATCTCAGTCAACTCATACATTATTACCAGCAAAGCGTGCAAAACGACCGCTCTGACAAAACATAATTTTACTCTCCAAAAACGTGGAGTTCACATTTGTTCTCAAAAATACAATCCACATTGATTGTCTCTCCCCGTGGAAAAACCTGGTGAACACACTCACTGTCCACTCATGCTACCTCTCTGTTTACATGTGAAAACATAGTCCGTTACATTAATTATATCTATATAGGTATATAAGGCAAAAAACTATTTCGGCGCCCCGTGACCGCTCCAGGCAGAGTTTCGAAATGAAACCTGCTTAACTTTTGTAAGTAAACTCTAAGGAATAGGCCTGCCACATTTCAGGTTATTATCTAAAAGGGAAAGTTGGAGAATTAGTTATGTGTGTGTGAGTGAGTGAGGCCTTTGTCTTTTACTATTTTAGACTAAAATACACGCGCTTAGCAGCGGAGAGCCTTTTTAAAGAAACAAAAAGTACGAACTTATCAAGTATCAGCATGTTCTGGAGACTATACAATGCATTCCCTTGCGAAAATCAAACCTGCCTCCAATCAATGCCAACTTTTTGTAGGGTCTGTCCTTGGGACCCCGATCCTGGTAAGACCCCAATTCTAATGAGTCCCTTATTCATTATGAACCCGATCCCGGCGCAATCCTTTTTCCCAGTTTAATCCCGTTCCCCGTGGAATCCTATATCTTTGTGTCTCCAGATCCAGGGGGAATCCAGATCCCGTTGGGATCATGATCCCATCGGTGTCTTGATCCCAGTGAGATCCTGATCTCAGTTGATCCCGATGCGCTACCGATACCATTAGGATATAGTTCATTAAAGGATCCCGTTCCACTTAGGCGGTCTCTTTTGCGATGTTCTCCCTTTTTCTGATGGGAACCTGATCCCGGTTTGAGCCCGTTACCGGATGGGATCTCGATGGTATCCTGTTCCCCGATGGAAACTTGTAACCAATGTGTAACATTAGGATCATGTTTCTCTATGGGATCATGCTCGGTGTCATTTTGTTTGAATAAGCTTCTAGTTCTAATTATATATCCCTGTTGAAAAATATAGATTAAATTTAATATCCTCCATGAAAAGTGCAAAAATAACATTGCTACGTAATTATTTCTTTAATTCAAAAATATTATACCACTACATTGTGCTGCTAACAATAATAAATTTAAATTGATATGGGGGCCCCGTTTTAAGGCCTATTTAATAAACTCCCGATTTATATATGTCTAAGATGGGGGGAAGCCTATAAAAATCATTGAGATAAATTATACATTTTAAACATGTCCCATTAAAAGTGGTTTACATATGCCATAGACACCGCTCTTTTAAACTATCGAAGTCTCTAGAAAATTCTAGATTGGCCATGAATGGATTGGATATTAAACCAAACGATATTTTAAAACGGACTAAGAATGGTAATGCTACAAATCTAGGCCTAAATCCACCTAATATCATATAACCTATGGTGTTGTCTAACCCGATTGATATGTATAAGCTTATATTTTTAAAAAATGAAATGGTGCCCCCCGCCCCAGTGGTATGGACATTATGAGTTCAGTACTCTTCGTTATTTGAGTATGGATAATCAAGAGTATGTGCATTAAGTTTGGTCAAGCTCCATCTATTTATGTAGAATGACTACACCTATTGCTATTAATATAATTTATATAAGGGAACAAGGAAATGGGGCCCTCGGCCCCGAGGGATGAAAATTATATGCTAAAAAAATGTCCTTATTTGAATATGGATAATCAAATGCATGTCAATTAATTTTTTTTTAGGATCCAGATATTCATGTAGCAGTATTTTTAGTTAGATTTTATATATATATATCATATCAGACAAAAAAAATCAGAATTAGAGGCCCCCCCCCCACCCGGTTGTGACTGTTCCAAGTAGAATTTCGAAATTAAACATGTTTAATTTTTGTAAGTAAGCCGTAAGGAATATGTCTGCTCAATTTCAGGCTTTTATCTAAATGGGAAGTTGGAGACTGTAGATCAAAAAATAGAAAGTAAAAGGGGCACATGGCCAGAGAGGTAAAAATATTATGAGTTATGTACCCTTAAGTATATGAATATTGATAATGAAGAGTATGTGTACTAAGTTTGGTCAATATCCATCAATTCATGTCGGAGTACTAAGCATATGGATATTTAGAAGGCTTATATTTGGAAAAATTAAATGGGCCCCCAGTCCCAGATGTATGGATATTATGCGTTAAGGACCCTTCAGTATTTCAATATGGCTAATCAAGAGTATGTGTACTAAGTTTGGTCAAGATCCATCGATTCATGTAGCGGAATATGTTGATCATTTTATTTATATTGCTCATAGTCGAAACAAATGACATTTTGGCCCCCGGCCCAAAATGGTATAGAGTTTGGAAATGAAACATGTTTAACTTTTGTATGTAAGCTGTAAGGAATAAGCATGTCTAATTTGAGTTTTCTATCTGCTGGAGAAGTTGGAGAATTAGTGATGAGTCAGTCAGTCAGTGGGGGCATTGCGTTTTAGTAGTATAGATAACGCAGAGGCGTAGCTAGAGTTTTTGACGTGCAAGGATAAGATTCATTTTTAAGAGTTCCCATTTCTTATTATTTCAGATCTCAAACCTATACTTTTCATCAATTAAATAAAACCAAAGCAAATTATCGTGCCCCTAACATGTCGTGCGCCCAGGGATACCTGTCCTCCCGTTTGCCCCCCTTAGCTTCGCCTCTGAAATCACGCCATTTTTGTATTAGAGATGAAGCTTCAAAAAAGTGCAACTCGCAATGAGAGGGAGTTTGTATATCGCACCATGAATTTGAATGGACACATATTTGTCTGTGTCAGTTTTACAAATATGAATACGGGTATACAAGCTGTTCAGTGGAAATTTGTTTAAAATTGTGTGAAACTCATAATAAATAACGACTTCAAGATGACCTGTTAATGTGTGCTGAAATTACAGTAGTTTGAAACGTGATAAACAGTCGAAAAGAAGAAAAAAATTAAAAAGAAAAAATAATCAAAATATAAAATCAATTCCAAAATTTTAAATGTATAAAAATTATTAAAAATTGTTAGAAACTTTATATGTAACGACATAAGGTTGTATATCCATATCCAAATTACAACCTATAAAATACTATTAATCAACAGTGAAACACACAGCAATAAACTACGTCAATTGATTTCATCAACCATAACTCCCAGTTACAGTAAACCATGCAACCTCTACAATTAATCCCGCACCAAACTATGATCATTTTCTTAAGCCACTATTATCAGCCCAAAAACTACAGACAAAAGGACACTTCAAAGTTTCATTGACCCCATTACAGCCGCCTCATCCGTTCAAATCAACACCGTATCCCATTAAAATCATCCTCGTTATCAGCTATAATCAACTTATTTCCTCACCGAAGTGAACGAACTATTTAGGCATAGTTAACCCTATAAGAAGCCCTGCAACCCATAATAATCAAAAACAAACCCCTCTTTAACAGCCACCAAGTCAACTTTGATCAGCCACGTCACACCTTATAATCAACTTTGCAACCACCCACGTAATTTATATAATCGACTTGATAAACTACACCGTAACGGGCTATAATTAGTTGCATTACATTGCATTTTTTATACAATAACCTCCTATAATATAACGCAGCCCCTGTAACCCAATATTATCAACTCTGTAACACTATATGGTCACATGCAGGTCTTTGTGTTTCAATTCTATGCAATTATTATACATGATATTTACCCTGCGGCTGTCTCTTTAGGCAATTCATACAATAATTCAAATGATTACTAATACAGAAAAAAAAGATCAATTTCAAATAATTGAGCAATTGATAAGAAGTAAAAAATAATTATTCAAATGGCCTGCAACAAACGTAATAAATTTTAATTAATGCATTTTTTAATTGTCTAATTACATTTTTGAATACTATATAAATTGCCTAGACGGGCCTCTCTGTTCATTAGACCAGCAGTGGATCTTGTGCGCTCCCTCGTTAAGAAAACTGAAAAAAAAGGTATTATAATTAAAAATTTTTTTTTTCAATATTCAATTAAGAATATGACATGTTTTATTGAAGTTTATTGTGTCAACGAAATAATTGCTTCCAATGCTTTTTTCGAAACCATTTTTTTCGATAATCTTAAACGCTTTTTAAGAATGTAAAAAGATTGAATTTAAATTATGTATGACTTTTCTAATTTTTGAAAAAATAGCTTAGGTAAATTTCACAGTCGCTATCTGCACCTAACCGTCTTTTACTGCTTCTTTACCATGATTTATTGGAAATTGAACCAGGTTTAAAAACGGTATTTTTAACGAGTCACCAGAATAGTAGACCGATGAAAAGCGGGGATTGAAATGTGCAACGGAACTTGCTCTAAATATTTAAAAAAACAAACAAAAGAAACTAGCTATAATCAACTCATTGTTAAACGATGTAATGTTATGCGTAATGAAAACCACATGTATTTTGCTGTAGCAATGAGTTAACGTAGACGGCCTAGGTTTCAGATAAGGACTCTGTGCATTTGGTAAAAAAAAACTAATTATTTATCACTTTATACTTAAGTTTGTGTAATTGTGAGATAATGAGGATTTGAATAGTCGCCAACATTACCAGGAACTGATGTCCGTTGCTTAATTAATATACAGACAAAAAATTCTAGCTATATATATATATTTTTTTTAAAGATTACATTTATCATTATAATATTTTATGTGATATTACTTTTTGAAAATAAATTTTGACATGATATATCCTAAAATGTTTGCAGCTACAACATGTTGTTCGGCGTGTTACTTGTACTGAACATGTGCGTCTTGAGCTACGCCGTCGTGCCAGAAACTCTGTCTGAAGGTGACATAACTGCTTTCCTTTCTGGCCATAACAAGTTGAGGTCGTCCGTAAACGTTCAAGACCTGGTTGGTTTTAATTAAAACATTTACATTTAAAAAAAACAACAACTATTAAACAATAGACATAAATCTGAGTACCTTCGCATAGATTTTTCTTTTCAAATGTCTTAAAGATATCATGGCCTCATTTTTCGGATGCAAATTCATTTGACATTCAAATTAACGAATACCAAATAGTTATGATCATGTTGTTATTCGTAGCTGAACTGTTTCTTTTAAAGTAATGCGATGCGCTTGTCTTTCCATGTCTACTCTAAAAAAAAAAAAAAAATATTCTAAAATGCACTGCAATTGGCTTTGTTCAAATCTAAGCTCTAGGAATGACAATCTTTATCAACAACTTTGTTTTTAGGTATGGGATTCCAAGCTGGCAACTATTGCAGAGAAGTATACTTCTGGATGTGTTAGGAATGAAACTTCTACTGGATATGGAGAAACTTTATTCTATTCATATCGTAAGTGTCAAATGTGTTGGTGCATACCTTGCCTATTTAGTTATACATGAAGGGATTAATGACGTACACTGGTGTCATTCAATCATTCACAATTCAAAATTTATCTCTTTTTTTTTTTTCGAACTGTTTGTTTGTTTAATAATTATATATCTAAGATTTTACGTATGATTACCCACAGCTAAAGTTCGAAACAATAAGAAATTAGCCAGTGAAGCAATAGGATTCTGGGCTTCTCCGGTCAATTTTGTAAAGCCTAAGTGGGAGTGTAGTATTAAAAGTAAAACTGCATGTGGAGCCGCTACACAAGTAAGTCGAGAAAATTTAATATTTCTTTAAAAATATGTGAACAAATTTATTATTTAATGAGTTAAAGAAAAATATACGATATGTTTTGAAGAGATGTGTACCACATTTCCAGTGTCTCCATATATTTATAATCATAAATTAAAGAAATAGGTTACAATATACAATGAATTGATAAAGAACGGATATCTTATGATGATTTATTGTTAATTAGGAATTTTTTTTTTAAATACTTCCATGGCTCAATCCATAGTTTTAAGATGAATTATTTAAGGATTTAAGAAATCCAGAGCACCAAAATGTGTATTATTCACTATAAAGAAAGTCGCCTGCTTTTATTAACATAATACAATAAATTTTAAACTAAACATCATTGAAGTACTGTAAGGGTGCAATAGATAACATTTATTTGTTTCATTATATCATTATTTTTATCTTATTATTGTACATCCATTCTTCAGCTGGTTTGGAGAAAAACGACACATATTGGGTGTTCCATTGCTCACTGCAGTGATAACTTTGAAAACTTTGTTGTGTGTTTATACACACCCCGGTGAGTAAACAACATTTTTTATTCAATTTTTAATGCTACCCGTCAGTCCAAACAACTATGTTCATGTACACATTAATATACCACTGTATGTTTCCGCTCATATATTTAACTGATTTAATAAAGAGTTTTTTATATTTTCAGTGGTAACATTATAGGGGAGAGTCCATACTAGGGGAGAAAGCCTATTTATTGATGTGTAGAAGTTGACGAAGGCTTCCTGTCGACACGTCATCCACGTCGTTTAATCCTCTTGTTTAATTTGTCCTGTACCTTGATCTTGATTTATCATGTCAAGACTCACCAAGTTTTCATATGTATCTTTTTGTGTCTGCATACATCTATGTGCATGAAACTATAATTAACTCCCTGTTACTAAATTGTAAACTGTTTGAATTTTCTTTACAATTTTAATGTCCTGTACTGCGTTCTGCACAACTTTAACGTTTCCTGCTTTACTTTAGATTTTGAGCAGTACGTAACAAATCAAAAATGTATTGCATATTAACAAACTTCAAAATATTTTAACAATAGTGTTTAAATTTGTTCCATTTTTACTTTGTAAAACTTTTAGTTGTGTGCATTTTTATTATTTAGGAAAAAAAATCTAATCAAAGACTTGGACAGAACAAACTAAGCGATAAACAACATACCATTATTATGTTGCCTTTAACAGCAGTCACATCACCCAAATCATCCACTATACCGACATGAATTGTGTCATACCATACTACAAGTTATCTTACACCTTGTTGAAGTAGTAAGGCGTTGGACACCATTTTGTCTTTAACACAATAAAATATAAGGCGACTAGTGGTGGGTGGATCTTGCATTTTAAGATAAGAACACATTAAAATAACTGATGGTAAGGCTTGAAAAACTACACATTACACACAATCAAAATAGGAGCAAATGTCTGATCATACATTTACATGTATTTATTAGGACACCAAAAAATTTTATTGATTGTTTAAGGTAATAATGGGAGAGCCTTTAATCGGGTTAGCACAATATTAGATGAGTAACACAAAATTGGTTAAATTAGAATAAAGACATGCCACAAAACAACGAACGTGTCGGCAGGAAGCCGTAGTCAGCGAAGAAAACAACAGGAAAAAAAATAAGAATAGCAATCAGCTTAAAAGAAGTAGTGGTAATAATAATAATAATAATAGTAATAATAATAACGTTTATATTTTGAAAGTCACGCTTCATCCCCCAAAGGCTCGAGGGACGGTACAAAGTTAACCATATTAAAAGAGAAATGAAACAATCTATAATTTATCACATTAAATCACACAACGCAACACTACAAAAACTACAAAGGAGCATACAAAAATTATACAATGGACAGCAAAGTAAATGTGCAGTTACTTGAATATTGTATACTTTGTATCAAGTGGCTTAGAATTCAGTGAGTGTCAAAATTTCCCAGCAAAAAGATCCTATGATAGCCCATGAAATCCTCTCGCTTCATTGGGAAAAATTCAAAGCTGATATTTTACATTCTACTTGAATACCTATTTACTTCAATTTGATCATAACAGCAGATACTTTGAATTTTTTTCTCATTCCGTCTCTCAAAGCTTCTGATGTGAATAATCATATGAAGTCTCATTTTGCACGCTATGGCATTCCAAAAGAATTAGTGACAAAGGATCCCAAATTCCCAGTGAAGAATTTCTAAATTTCTCAACATAGTGGTGGTTTAGACACATCATTTCAAGTCCCAGATATCCACAGTCAAATTGCATGGCTGAAAGAGAAATACATACAGTAAAAATACAAATTTTGCCGTGTTGAAGTTAAGAGCTGCGCCATATCATGATTAACGATCAACTGCTAGACTGCTCATGGGAAGATGACGCTTGAGATCAACTCTTTCAACTACTGATATCAAACTAAAGCAGAAAGTTTCAAACCCAAAAGAAATGGCCATCATCTCTTCATTATCATTATCATCATGTCCCTTAATTGTTGGATCGTTTGTTGGGCGTCACAGATGACATCTGAATTATCCTCCTCAATACGTCTCTTTCTTCTGCACTACGCATAGCATCGCCCAGTTTCAGTCCTGTGCACTCTTTGATTTTATCCTCCAAATTTTTGCCTTGTCTTCCTCTTCTTCTCCCTCCCCTTGTGGTGCCCTGCAATATTTCTTTGGCAAGCCCTTGTTTGCTTGTTATGTGGCCATACCATTGTGGCTTGCGTTTTTCACAGTCACCAGTAGGTCATCGTACTGCCCTATTGCCTGACGAAGCCTTATTTTCACTTTATATTTGGAGATATGGTCCCAAGAGGAGATGCCAAAATGCTTCTGAAGCATCTCATCTCCATTGCATTTATTTTACTTTCAAGTTAAACTGTAAATGTCCAGGATTTGCAGGCATACATGAAAATTGAGAGGACTAAAGAGCGCATCAGTCCGAATTTGGTGCTTGGGGCTATATTTTGGCCATTCCATATTTTCGTGAGCCTCTTTAGTGGTGTTGTAGTCTTCGTAATCATTGACATCAGTTCGGGCTTTGAGCCTTCATCTGAGACTATTGCTGATATGAAGCTGCTGACATTCTCTAGTCTTTCCTCTCTGACCTTAATTTTAGCGGCGATGCCTGTGGTGTTATATGTCATATGTTTGTATTTTCGACACTAATTAGCATGCCATATGACGCCATAGAAGAATAGACAATCAAGGAAGTCTTTAGTGGATTGAGTGATCATGAATGTGAAGGATGAAAAGTGGAATGAGTGATCAAAAATGTGAAGGATAAAAAGTGGAATGAGTGATCATGAATGTGAAGGATAAAAAGTGGAATGAGTGATTATGAATGTGAAGGATAAAAAGTGGATTGAGTGATCATGAATGTGAAGGATAAAAAGTGGAATGAGTGATCATGAATGTGAAGGATGAAAAGTGGAATGAGTGATCATAAATGTGAAGGATAAAAAGTGGAATGAGTGATCATGAATGTGAAGGATAAAAAGTGGAATGAGTGATTATGAATGTGAAGGATAAAAAGTGGAATGAGTGATCATGAATGTGAAGGATAAAAAGTGGAATGAGTGATCATGAATGTGAAGGATGAAAAGTGGAATGAGTGATAAAAAATGTGAAGGATAAAAAGTGGAATGAGTGATCATGAATGTGAAGGATAAAAAGTGGAATGAGTGATCATGAATGTGAAGGATAAAAAGTGGAATGAGTGATCATGAATGTGAAGGATAAAAAGTGGAATGAGTGATCATGAATGTGAAGCGTAAAAAGTGTGTTCCGTATTTGTTATACAAAAAAAATAGAGGAGTTGCACTAATTCATTACTATTACAGATTAAACTCGGGTATAGAATGTCAAAGAATTAAGACAACATGAAGCGGTCAGATGTGAACATTCAAGTTACAAAAGAATAACGTCGTATACATTTAATCTGCAAGCTCCGCTCCTATTAGAAGTTGAAATAAGTGCTAAAACAGGGTAGGGATCATGAATACACTAGTTACGACTACGTCGCATTAACTTCGTGAAATATTCACACTCTCTAAACCTAAAGTAGAAAACAATTTCAGGTGGCGCACCTTAATGAAGCGGTCCGACATTTCTTGCAAGTTAAGTTTTTTAAGGATTGTGTGCGTGTGAATGCTTTGGGATTTACGTTACTCGCTCACGCCCATTACTAATCCATTACTAATCTACATATTTATTGAAATCAGCGTCATCTGGTTGCGTCAGAGATATTGTTACGTAAAGATGTATGCATTTTGATCATAGTCACAAATGGGTAAAAACAACTATTACACCATAACGGCCGATGGATAAAAAGACAGCATTATGATACTGATAGACCAAGAGACTATCAGCCACACCAAAACAAGAGGCGAATCAATATACAACAATACTACCATACTGACAGACGAACATAGATATACCATTACACGATACCGACAGGTGAATTTAGACTGTTATGTAGCACAATTTCCTGTGCGTGAACTTTCCTCGACCTCGCAGTACACTCCTAGCAGACAGTAACGTCTGTTGTGGGCGTGTTTAAAACTCTTTGATGTATCTTGTTTACAATCGGCTTCCAATTACACATTGGGTAGTTGTCTCCGGGTATCTTCTCGAATGTGCTTATAACCCGAGATATGTAAACAACACGTCATACGTCGTTCTCGAAGCGTCTTACGATACATGTATATAAAGGATAAAAAGATACGAAGGATGGAGATACAGATAGATTTATTAACTTTACGAGGCGTGTTTTATTTTTTGTGTATTTGTGAGCTTATATGTGTTTATTTCGCATTATTCATTTGCACATTATTCTAACTATGTTAACTGTGTACCGGTACAAGATCTACCATACTGTAAGTTGAAGATTGTAAAGATATTTTCTTTTCTTTTGTAATTATCTTAAGACGTAATAAATCTTAATTAATTGTAACTAGAAACTGTTTTGGGTCGTATCTTTAATATTGTTGATTCTATGGTATCGTCCTTTGTTAGGCACTGTTTACAACGAGCCAATTAAAATTAAAATAGGCGATAAATTTCTCCCAATACAAGTCAGTGCGTAACATAGACATACCACTGTTTCATACCGACATATAAATAGACAGACTAACTGTGTTTTCTGAAATAATTTTCTTTGATGGGTGGGTATTAAAACTTTTTGCTGGACATTGTACAGAGTCGTAGCAAAGTGGGGGCTAAGGGTGGCGCCTGACTAAGGAAGGCAATAAATTTGCTTCGATGTATTTGAAAAATTGTTTCAGAGTTGGGGGAAGGCATTAAAATGAATCATTTTACCATTCGCCGGACGCACTAGCTACACCTCGGCCAGTGCAATGGAAAGAAAAAAAAAGAGGAGAGTGGTCCACGCAGGTTTCCCTTTATCTTTATAGGCAGATGCCGAAGTTTTTGAAAACTACAGAGTTTGTATCGTAAAATAAAAAGGGCAGAAAATATGGCCTCATCCAAAGCTACGCCAGCTATCACGGAATATATCAGCACCTTTTTATTAGACTTTAATAGCGGTGAGGAGTTTTGTAAGTGACGGAGTGCAGGGTAAGGCATACACTAAATTCATTACTCGTTGTGTGTACCACAGGGTAATAATTTAACACGAGTTTTTTTTCAAACCAACACTGTTACATTGATTAGCGCGAGAAAAAGGAGTTGCATAAATTTTGGATTCAGAAGTTTGTCCAACAAAAGTGAAATGGAGGGATTCATTTCGGCACATACTTTAACTTGATATTTTTCAAATTCAATTTAAATTTTTAAGACTTTTATAAGTGACTAGCCAAAGTTAACAATAAAAACGATAATGAAAACCTCTAACTCCATCCAGTCCAACATAAACAAACTAAGAATATCTTTGTTGACTTT